TCCTTAGTCCGTTGATTCCTCCGAATCGACGGACTATATCACAGTTTATGACGTATTGTATTTAGAATATTATTTAAAAAAATAGATTTGACTGATAGCTGGGCTTAATTGAACAAGGAGAAGTTAATTCGTACCCTTGCTGCTCAGTGTAAAGAAAGCATTCTAGTATTCTAAAATAAATCAGGATTAGAAACGGATAAAATTACAGTATATAAAATTACAGTAAAGATTTGCATATAATATTTATTTGCGCATTATAAGTTTTGTGTGAAAGTCTGATGAAAAAATTACGTTACATAGACGTTTAAAGACATGTTTGTATATTATCGATATATTACTAAATAAGGTATAAAAATTTTCATTTTTATACGCCCCGGTGTATGTATACACAAATAACCCAGTGCGATCGAACGATCGTACGCATTTAATGTGGCGAATCTGCGAAAGATAGAAAAAGCTTTAATCTCTCTTTCTTCTTCAGAGAGTTATGTAATACATTGTTGACGATTATCTCGATCATTTCCCGCTTCGTTCAAGCTCCAATTCCAAGCCCCGATTCCACGGCATTCTCGGCAACGCTGGACGTGTCTTCCTAAACCGCCAACGAATTCTCAATCGTTTCCTTGCTCTCTTGGACCAACTTCTGTTTGATCTTCTCGCCGTAAGGGTGTTTGTATTTACGTCTGACGACGTCCCAGTCGACAACGTTCTCGATTTTGACGACGTTCTGAAAGGACAGCTGACTCTCGAGTGGATTCGATTGAGCTACCGATAAGGCGACTCTATCCTTGTAGACCATTCTGGTGCGAGGGGACAGGCGAGCGCTCATCTCGTGCGTCAAAGAGAGCTGTTGTTGCTTTTTGGTCGCGCATTTCTTGCAGAGTTTGACAAAATACATAATCCACGTAGTCAAAAGATTCAGCGGGGGTGGTGCCATGGTGGTCCTATCGCGTATTGAAAATACAATTAGTGTGATGAATGATGCAATAAATGGTTTCATGCAACAACTTGCCGTACTTCTTCTTCTTAATATGTTTTTTTTTCTTCGGTACATCTTATTACCTGTTCATTTTTCGAATAAGCTTGCTCATTCCGTATTTCCACTCAATGTCCGATTGCGCCTGTATCCGCTGGTAGGTATCGCTCATCATGGCGATCAGGATATTAATAAGCACCACCACCACCAACATGTAAATGCCGAAGGTGAGCTTGAAGAGGACGAGCGTCCAAATGGGCTGCATACGTTCTACATTGAATTGTTCGTGTGTCGTCTGATCAAAGATGGCGAAGAACAACAACTCGACCGCAAGTACGGGATCCATCCTGACTGTAAATACCCGTTAAACAACGTGTCTCGTAAGATGCCTCGTGTATATGCGAGCGGACATAA